CGCATGAGCCTCCTTGCGGCCAAGTCGTGCGGAGGAATGCAACTCCCCTCGGTGGTTGAAAGTATCCTTGCCGCTGCTGGTGCGGATCTCCTCCTGCTGCTATCAGGAAGGTCAGAAGCCTCGGTGCTTGCGCGTGATGCCTTGCGCGATGCTCTCAATGCTCCGCCTGTCGAGGCTGAAGCGCTTGGTGGTCTCGTCGTGCTGGCCCTCCGCCTTCTTGCTGCATACGGTTTCCATGTGTGTGTTCAGCCGGACCGCTTCACAGCGCGGATCCTGAACGCATTGCCATGCCCCTCCTCCCAACCTTTAGTTGGTTCCTTCCGGCCCGTGTTGGCAAGGCCTTCTCTTATGCTTGCTCGCGTTGGATTTGTTGCCAACTCGTTGCGGCGGATCTTTGCGGCCTTTGTGGCTGAAGGTCGCCCTCGATCCACTTGGTCGGATCTTGCCCTGTGGAGTCACGTTCTTCCTGCCGCCTTTCCTTTCTCCCCAGCAGAGTGCTCTCTTGCAGTGGCTCAGGCATTGGCAGAAAGCCAGCGAGATTGGCGCGTTGAGTGTGCTCTGTTCCGTCCTGGCGTTGCTGTGCCACCTCTACCTGTTGTTTGGGGCCTCCACTCCTGGGAGGACCCTTGGGAGAGCGCAGACCCTCGGACGTCTTTCTTGGATGCCTTTGCGTCTTTTCCGGCCGCGCTGGACTATGCCATGTACAGCGATGGAAGCGCGTCGGGCTCGAGTCAGTGCTTCTTCAGCTCGCAGGCTCGGGCCTTTGGCCTCCCCCCCAACTACTGGCAATCCTGCCCAGTGGTGACTCAGGCGGTTGCTTGCCGTATGCCCCCCTGCTATGGTCGGGAGTCATCGTCCGTACACACTGCTGAGCTAATGGGAATGATTTCTGCGCTGCGCCATGCTGAGCCGGGGCATTGGAACCTATTTGTCGCTGACCGAAGTGCTCTTTTCTCACTTCTTCGTGCTGCCTCCCCTCGCGACGTGGATGCCTCCCTCTTCGCTCAGCTCATGCTCCACTGGCCTGTCGCGTGTTCTGGTTACTGGACCGGCTGCGCCGTGGTTGGACGGGCTGTCCTGGTCGCACTCCAGGATGGCGAGTGCATCAGACGTCCTTCCCTGACCAGTGGAACGTGCGGCGGCAACATGAGGGCCATCTTGCATGGTTTTGCCAGATCCCTTTTTGCCAATATGGGCTGGTTGGGGTGGACGTGAAAAGCCACCAGTCCGGCGTCCCTGTCCCCATGGACCTCATTGTGCTTGGAAATGAGGCGCAGGACCGCGCGTGCGCAGCCGCCAACAGCCAGCCCCTTCCTGACTGCGTGCGTCTCCCGTCTGGGGGCCCTTTTGCTTTTCTCTGCTACCATCAGGCCATGGTCACATCCCCTACTCGGTCTGCAATACGTGGCGTCCTTCGTCAGCAGGCTCTGATGGAATGGCGGATCAGGGCAAAATCGCTGCTATGCAAGGCTGCGTCTTCTCGGATGTTCTTGACATGTCCTTCTACACCTCCTGTCCAGGATTTGGTGCTTCGTCCCCACTTCGCCTCCCGCATGATCAGACTTCGGTGGATCTCTCGGTTACCTTGTTCCGCTGCGTCCGTCTCGTTGGGGGCGGATGGACTGAGCGTATCAAAGTTGACCCGCAACTCATGTCAGTTGCCCGCCACCTCTACGAGCGCAATATCCTTGCCTCCCCTCGCACTTGCCCGCTCTGCAGGGCTTTGCCGGGCACACCTCGGCATGTTATCATGAGCTGCTCTGTCATGAAGCCGTTGGTCGACCTACTCCGCGATGTGCTGGAACAGCGGCTGGATCAGCTGAATGCCCATGGTCTTATGCTCCGCCTTGCACACGTGTGGCACAGGGATGTGCAGGCGCGTGGTCTGGGAACGATCATTGGCAGCGTTGCCCCGGAGGTGCAGGCCCGCTGGCCCTTGCTCTCAGCCTGGCGCTGGCTTGTTCCCACGCTGGACCGGGAAGTCATTCTTTCTGCCGACACTGGGGGCCATAGTGCGGCAGCGGTATGTGCTGAGGGGGAATGCGACCTCGCCCACCGCGGTGTTTTACCTGCTGCACTTGGTCGTGCCATCCTCCAGGCAGCTCGGGGCACGCCTGTGCCGGATGATGCCTTGCCTGACGCAGCTGAAGGCTTTGCGCACCTTCTGAGTTTTGCCCAGCTCGCCGCTGAGCAGGCCAGGCACCGGTCACTTGTGGACAGGCTCCGGCCGGCTATTGATTTCACTGCTGTCTTGCTGTGTGGTCTTCGGGCCGCTCGCTGGCAATACTCTGCTCGGACTGGGCTCGTGGCGTCCTGCGTGCGCTCCATGCAAGCGTGCTCGGCGCCGCAGCCCGAGCCAGCAATGGCAGGTATCCCTCCAGGTGTCCCCTCTCCGCTGGCGCGCTACCAGGCGTGGAGCACATCCCCTGCATGGCGGGGTTGTCACCCTTCGTGCCTTGAGGTGGCTCGCGCCAACGTCTGCAATTCTGTGTTCACGCCT